TGTACATATCACATTCAAATACTTGTTTTCTGTACATATCAAGTGTCCAAAATCACCTAAATAACAGCTGTTCTGTTAGGATGAGTGTACAGCTATCAGTCCTCAACAACATCATGGACAAATAATCGTGAAATGCCTTTTATCTTTCAAATATTAAAGAAATGTTTTTGGAATCTATGTTTTTCAGTTCCTGTGATGACCTTCGTATATTGGTCTAAGTGGGAGAAATATCACTGAATATGGATTTTTGATATATAATAAAACTAAACATCTAAAGTCTTCTTTTTTGAGTTCAAAATCAATTTGTTATGAAAATGTTCAAGGTATGATCCCTACAAACTTCTCTGTAATGAAAATGTTCAAGGTATGATCCCTACAAACTTCTCTGTAATGAAAATTTGTTAATTCATCACTTTCATCACAGAAAAGTCAGCCAGATTTACAACGAAAATAAACAGACATTGAAATTTTCACAGCTTGGAAGTAATTACCAAGGTGGTTTTCTTGATTTTCTTAAATGACAAATTTCTAAAGGACATGTTCTATATTGTGTGGTATTCTCTAAAGGACAAGTTCTATATTGTGTGGTATTCTCTAAAGGACAGGTTCCATACTGTGTGGTATTCTCTAAAGGACAGGTTCTATATTGTGTGGTATTCTCTCAAGGACAGGTTCTATTTTGTGTGGTATTCTCTAAAGGACATGTTCTATATTGTGTGGTATTCTCTAAAGGGCATGTTCTATATTGTGTGGTATTCTCTAAAGGGCATGTTCTATATTGTGTGGTATTCTCTAAAGGACAGGTTCTATATTGTGTGGTATTCTCTAAAGGACATGTTCTATATTGCCTGGTATTCTCTAAAGGACAGGTTCTATATTGTGTGGTATTCTCTAAAGGACATGTTCTATTTTGTGTGGTATTCTCTAAAGGACATGTTCTATATTGTGTGGTATTCTCTAAAGGACAGGTTCTATATTGTGTGGTATTCTCTGACAGCACGTTATGGCACTACATTTTGTACAGATGAAAAATACACACCTAACACTCGTACTACATATTCTTGAATAGGTAGAGTGGAAACGTTTTGCATACATATTTTTGTGTGTGTTTTCAATGCTCACATTATCAATAAGGATTTGTTTGCCATCCAATCTATGATACTGACGTTGAATATAAGATATTTCAGTATACATTATGCTGCACAATGATTTCCACCGGTTTAATATAACTTACATATTTAAAACTTAATTACCAAGGTCGCCTTTAAACAGTAGATCTAATCGTATACATCTCATTGCTCAGAGAATTGCTGATATAAATTATTTTTTAAATCATTCAATCAAAAATTTCAATAAAAAATGTGAAAAACGTCTTCACCAATTACTGTATACATGTTGTATGTTTACAACATGTAAGGGCAAACAGGCAGTCTTCTAAGATAGACCTCAATTGACAAGTGATTTCCACAGATCTACTACAATATATCATATTTAACTGAATATAAGATAAAAATGGCTTCTTATTGTAATTTTACATATGATGAAATATCAATTTTTCGAAGAAAAGCTAAATAATAAATTCTGCTTTCCTTGTTTGAACTAGGGTAAATGTTTGGTGCTGACTTCACTGTTTGTAAATAAACTATAATTACTAGCTTCTACAGTTCATACTACAGGATTTCAGTCACGAGTACAATGGTGGATTTCAACCTTATCTATATCAACATTTCAGATAGAAAGTCGACAAGACTACAGTGTGTAAGTTAAGCTGAAAGTCGACAGAGTGTGGAATTTAAATAAGTTAGACAGCTGACAGACTGCCAAAGATTATAAACAAGGGTAGGCCGTATAACTGTCTACGATGCCAATGTGTTCAGGTTTTGCTTTCTATTTAAAATTAAAACTTCAGATGATTTAAACACTATTCTTTAGACTTCTTCCTATGCTATACATACTATATAAATATATTATGGAATATTTCATGAGGAGGTAGCACAATATATAACATAATTTGAAAATAAAATTATTTAAGATTTCGACTAGTCATCTGTAAGTTTTGAACACCATTCTGAAAAGGTCCATTTGTGTTCATTATCAAGTCTAGTTTTATTTAACATTTTAAAATTCTCATATCAAGAAATTTGAGTAAATTGATGACTACTGTAGTTGATATAATAAACGCTATCAGTGCTAAACGATTTGGGAAATTTTGCAGAACCTTTGTAATTTCTAACTTTTCTGAAGTAAATCTATAAACAAAGGTGTAGCTACTGCTCGCATCAAGACAGTGGGCACATACAAGGGACGGGCACTTATTAGGACAAATACAGTATTGTAGACTATCGGGGTTTTATCTGTTCCTTAGAAATCTATAGGCTCCACTTTTATTTCTTTTCTTTGACAAGATAGTACACATACTTTCAATTGTAATCATTTTTGACAACATCTGTCATCTAACAATTGTTTTAATGAGAGATGGATTTACAAATTTTAACTCATTCACCCCTAAAATTTCATGATGAACTATTCCAACCTTTGAATTGGGCGTGTTCGAATGCGTCTCGGGGGTGAATGAGTTAATTCAAAACAAAACATCTTTACAGAATCCTACAACATTGAAAAATAAGCATACCAACAATAGTGATGAGAAACGAGGCTTTACCAGCTTCTACCACAATACGTATCTGATTACTGATTATATAGCTGAGGAAATGTTAACACTCACACATCATACAACTGTACCGGCATGTACACTGTCTGGTAGCTTGTGAGGGGATCCCTACGGAAGTTCACTCCTACATTACCACTTCTACCACAATATGTATCTGATTACTGGGTGTTTTCTATATAGCTGAGGAAATGTTAACAATCACACATCATACAACTGTACCGCCATGTACACTGTCTGGTAGCTTGTGAGGGGATCCCTACGGAAGTTCACTCCTACATTACCACTCCTACAGCACTAGCATGCGTTCATCAACAACATCATTTAACGATTACAGATTTTAAACAAAATTACATTATATTACTACTTCATTGGGTTTCCATCCAGTCGTAAAACAATTTCATAAAAAGAGTACAGTTTTCATAACGAACACACACCATTCTCCATTCGTTACAATAAAAATCACAGTAAAATGACAGGAAAATTTCAACACAATATACCACAATATATCTCAGCTGTACAAAACGAAGGAGATCTTCTGTGAAGGTCTCTCAAATTGCATCTGAACAGAGCGAACTATCACAGACACTGTTAAGATTCAAAAGAAACTGTTGTTGATCATGTTCTTCATATTGAAGTTGGTGAGGAGTTATCCCCCTTGGGAAGCCTTTTGATCACAATCACAATTAGATGTACTCTGTAGTGTCAAAGTTATCAATGCAAACACATGGCAATGCATCCTCCATTAGCACTAGATCAAAACTTGTCCTCCTGCATCCTCCATTAGCACTAGATCAAAACTTGTCCTCCTTCTTACAAATAGCGGTGACATCATGTTCAACACCCAGACACTTCTGCTCGTACCTGTGATATTGTACAAGTTGTTCAGGACAAAAGAAAATTCACTTGTAGTAAGAAAGTGAGCTAGTAAAATATAGCATTCTCTGTAAACAACACAGAAATGTCCCTTTACCTTTAGTAACTTTTATTTATGGATTTAAAGTTTCAGTGATTGATTGTACTTAGTTATGTGAAATGAAGGGAATACAAATGTTACTGTTCCCCCTTCATCTGTGAAGTATATGTACTTAACTTCCTTCAGTGATTCCATATGAAACTTAATTCTTAGAATTCACTACAGGGCTAGAATTGCAGAAAAAACAGTTTCCTAATTACCTAGAATTTCTTGTCTGGTATTCTGATTAAAAAGTCTGGTACCTCAGATCTTTTAATTAATACAATACATGTACTACACTAGGTTTGAAATAAGTTTATCTCTTGGATTCCGTTAGCTGATTATGAATTAACAAAAAATAAATACTTTTCATAATGATATATTTGTGGGGAATATTATTTCAAAATAACAATTAATGGGGATAAAATAACTTAGTATTCCATGACACAACCCGAAAAATACCACCAAATGTTGATCTTGTAATCTAGTGCACTGGAAATGAAATTGAAGTAGGCCTGAACTATTCCAGTTTGGACCCTTGTTTCTGCAACTATGTGTTACTGGAATATGTCTTACCAAACTATCATTACCTGGTCAAGTATCAATATTTTCTCTAAAATCAATTTCTGTAATTTTTATATCTAAATTGTATTGGAGGCTTGTTCCATTTGAAAATCACTATTTTCACTGATGATTATTTGTGTTAATATAAACTAACTGACCACTACTCACAAGTCAATTATGGACAACAGGCCCATTGGTCCTGTATCACACACCTGTTTCATCAGAGCTAGACAGGAGCTAGACAGAAAGTTTTTGTTAACTAGAGACAAGATTGTGGACATATGACATTTCTTAATGACTCAAAGAATAAAGTTACCAACACTTGGTAGGGGCAGTAACATGGTTATTTGTATGATGTTCAGTTACAATTGATCTAGAGTAACATAGAATTAGTCGAAAATGTCGCAGCCAATCAGTGCTCAGTCAGTAGAATTCATGTAGCACTGACAGTTACCAAGATATGGACCTAACAATTCTTGTTAATCTGATCTATGGATAAAATGATTTTCTTCTAAATTCGATAAATGGAGCCTGAAATATAGGTCAATTTCACCATCAGTAACATGAAATAAGTAGAGCAACCCCTTTATCACTGATGTACAATTCATGTAGCACTATCAGTGACCCAGATAGGGTGGGAGTTGAGTAGAACTTTTTGAAATGCCTCAACTAATCAGAAAACAGGTGCTCACCAAATTTAGTCAAAAGTCTCTTCAGCCATTTTGGTTTAGTAGTAGTAGGAAAAGTTGATGATAGACAGATGGACAATGAATGTCGCACCACAGCATAAGCTCATTTAGCCCCCCCCCCCCCCCCCCCCCATATGAGCTAAAAAAACAAAAGGAAGTGAAAGCAGCAGATTTTCTGTTATTGAGGTGTTACCAGTAATTGACATGATTTAATGGTCATTTTATTACAACACAAAAATTCTGAGGAAATGTCGTACTAAACCAGACCTGTAGACTGTGTTTCCTATCTGTTAGTGTGCTCTACTGGTTCAGGAGGTTACATCAACATATACACATACATATATATAGTTATAAGGATGCTCTGTATTGCAATCATTTGTAGCCATGTTAGGTATCTTGAGCAGAAGATTTCTTTTATAGGTCATCAGGATTCGAAGCATGGCAGTAGCCAAGCCGTAACGAACAAGGAAATTCCTCTTCATGTGATCAAATCTGTCTGTTCCTGAAAGGATTTCATCAAGGCTATGTGACCTTGACCTCCCATCTCCTTCAATGGCCTTGAACCTGCCTTCCTTCTGGGAACATAACCCATATGTTCAGAAAACATTCAGATTCCTCTGAACATTGACAATGACCTTTGAACTTTCTTTAGGACACAATGGCAGATCGGGCCCTTCTGCCTTACAGTACACCAAGTACCTTTACACTGTCTGTAGCCATTGACAATCCCAGAGGTCAGGTGAAGAGGCCCGTACACTTGAAAAGCCCTTATTATTGTTAACGGTACGGGGGTCAATTGTCTGCGTCACTACATGGGGTACATTTCTGAAAATACAAAGCACAGAAATTAAGTCTTTCACACATATTTTAATAAATGCATATTTATTGATTGATTGATTGATTGATAGGTTTTACGTCCACTTCACTACCGAGTAGTTCGGTTATCCAGCAGACAATGCATATTTATTACTTTTGTTATGTTTTTATACTGTTTCCTGTACTGTACTCAATATCACAGTCTGAAACTTGTACTATGAAGCTCGAATTATACAAAAGATTCCAGAGGGACCTTGGCACCCACCATTGTACCACCTTCTTTAGTTCTTTGTCAGTTCAATCTTTTCTCTTCTTTTCTCTAATCTGTTTGATTGAGTCATGTTAACAGTAAATGCACCTTGTGGTAACTTTTGATCTAAACTTAATACTGCTATGTATAAAAGACAACCTTCAAAGTGAGTTTGTCAATCACATATTTACTTGCACAGTACTTAATGTGAAAGAAATAGAATCGATCATTGCAATATGAGAAAGATCTGTTAAGTTCTTCCTTTAGCCATTTTGTTTTTTGATCAGTATCAAAATATAACATGCACAACAAGGGATCAAGGGGAACCTACATATCAAATATGAGAAAGATCTCTCCACTACCTATTAAGAAACTGCGATAACAAACATTCACTTTCAAAATCCAAGATGGCTACCTGTCGACCATTTTGTTTATCTGATCAGTCTCAAAAGTTAACCTGCACAACGAAAGACCAAGGAAAACCTGCATATCAAATTTGAGAAAGACCCCTCCAGTACTTCCTGAGATATATCGATAACAAACCTTCACTATCATAATCCAATATGGCTGCCTGAAGGCCATGTTGTTTATCCGATCAGTCCCAAAGGTTAACCCGCACAACTATGGACTAAGGGGAACCTACTTATGAAACTTGAGAAAGATCCCTCTTGTAATTCTTGAGAAATAGCGATAACAAGAATTGTTTTAGGACGGACCACAGACCACGGACGCAGGGCGATTTGAATAGCCCACCATCAGATGATGGTGGGCTAATAAACAGAACTGTGACGTAAGTAAGGTATCTGTTTTAGGTGGTATTTATGATTGACCATACACAAAAGATACACAAGAATCGTATACATTTATATCATACAAGTAATCCTGGATTTTCAGATCATACATATAGTCATGTGACTTTGATTTATTTTTTCCTAAAGGAAAAATCTTAGTTAAAATTGGAAAGGTAGCACATAACCTTTGAGACTCCATATTACAAATAAAACAGATCAAATTCTTAACTATAAGGTATTTGAAAATAAATGTTCCTATTTTGATTTTTCAGCCAAAATGACACAAACATATACGCTATCTTATAGTGACATGAATTTCTGTCCAAAGAGCTGAGCCGTAATTAAACTCCAGTAAAATACCTTTTATATATATGGTAATTATAAATTTATATAATTACAATATGAACTTAGTATACTGTAGTCAGAATTATTCAGACTTTTTATCGACTTTTTTCATATCGGTCTGTCGTCGATTAACGTCAGAACTCCGGCCCTCTATAATATGCGGGAAATATGCGACACGCCCCCGGAGCCCACTTCAAACTGATATTTTAGAAACAAATCGTCACTTTCACACACATGTCGCACATAAATAAAAGAATAAACTTGGGGATTATGATGTTAAATAACTAGTGTTGTCAAAGACGGCATTTCAGAGGTATACATGCATGGTGGATCAAGTGGTAGATCGAAGCTGTCCAGTATACAGTTTTAGTGAAGTTTCTATTTATAGTGACAGTGACCTTGACCTTTGACCTTCGGACCTGAAAAGCANTCCGTCAAGTCATGTGACATTGCTCATGGCCTTATTTCCATTAAAAACATGGGTNGGAAACTCAAGTTATCGCACGAAAACAGATTTTCTATTTATAGTAACAGTGACCATGACTTTTGACCTTCGGACCTGAAAAGTAATCCTAAGCAAGCACTTTTGGTAAGGAAGCAATGCATGAAGTTTGAGTTTGATCGGCACAAGGAAACTCAAGTTATCGCACGAAAACCTCTGTTCGGACGACAGCGCCGACACCGACGACATAGCAATATCTATGTGTCACCAGCTTTTCGCAAGCGACACAAAAAAAGTAACGGTGACCTTGACCTTCAACGAAGGAACCAGAAACATAAACTTGTTTAAGGCATTGCCATAACAAACACCTGTATGAAGTTTCACGTTGAGGAATTAAGCCGCTTGAGCAATGGAAAAGTCTTTCTAAAAACAGTAACAGTGACCTTGACCTTCAACGTAGAAACCAGGTTGACTGCATAAAAAGCTTTTCCCCTTGATTATTGAAAACAACAGAAGACAAAACTTGTTTTTTTCTGTGATTCAAAGCGATTATGATGAGACTTGAACTAAGTTAATGTTGACATTTTTGCAGCCAAATATTTTACTTTGTTGTAATCATTGAAGTGATAAAAGCATTTTTAAACTGTTTTGTAGTCTATCAGTGTTGAAAGACTTCACTGGCAGTAGGCCTGAAACCCTACTGATCTACACATATGTAAACAGTATGTAGTGATGGATCAATAGACAAGCGAGGTAACAAAGCTCATCATCCTTGTAATATCTGTTCACAATTCAATTAGCAAACTTTGCCTGATTGTGGAAAATGCCTATAATTGGAGAGGAAGAATCTGTACCTTTTTCATTTAGCCCGAGGTGAAATATTGTAATCCATTTGATATGGAGTGTTCTATATACATGTATTAGGTATGATCATCTACCCTGCAATACACTTATCTCTATACACAAGTACAGGAGATACAGAGATAATGTGACATACAGCAGTAGGTGTATCTCCATGGTTAAGACTAAATAACGTATAATTGGTTGCGATGGAAACAGGGTGTGCTTCCTGATTGAATTTTGTCTTCGTACGCGAAGGCCATTAAACTGTATGAAAACAAGCTGCAGGTCTGTAACAGACCATTACTGGCCACCCTCTGACTAGGGCAGTGATCAGTGATGGTGGTGTCATTATAACACGACATCCAAAGCTTCAGAAGTTCAACCACGACCAACCATAAAACCAAATGTATTTCAAAGGTAATGAAATGAAATAATAAATAAGAATATTTTCACCATAAAACCAAATATATATACAAAGTTTAATTGATAAAAGAATGATTCATGTTTTAATCTTTAAACTTGACATTTTGCTGGAGGAAAGGAAGGAATGTCTTTACTACAGGTAGCTAATTGTTTGTGTTTATGTTATATACTCCTTAATATAACAAACACAGATAAACAAGTATACATGGACTGACCATGGCCAGTGGTCACCAAGCCTTAGGCCGGTGAGTAATCATTGAATGAATTTTACCTACCTCCCACTGACGCCTGCGGACTCATCACAGTATGCTGGGCTAGACCCTGGATAAAAGGAATAAGTACAGATCAACATAACTTGGGTGCTACATCTACCAGGGTCAAAGTCGTTCAGGTGTAACTAACTTCACAGGTCAATGTCAATTGTGTTACCTACCAGGGTCAAAGTCATTCAGGTGTATCTAACTTCACAGGTCATTGTCACTCACGTTACCTACCAGGGTCAAAGTCATTCAGGTGTAACTAACTTCACCGGTCAATGTCACTCACGTTACCTACCAGGGTCAAAATCATTCAGGTGTAACGCCACAGGTTAATTAATGTCAGTGGTGTCAAATAACAGGGTCATAATCATTCAGGTGTAACCTCACTTGGCAGTGATTTGACCTCTTTGATTTTCATATGACCTTGACTTTGAGGGTATGTTTCTGTGACTGCCTTAGAAATTAAGTCACGTTTTTGTAATTACATCATATAATTGTAAATGGGTCGAGTCAAGAAAGTATTGCAGATTGATTTGACCTTGAGTGTATAACTACAACTTTGACCTTCTGAATACAGAACTACAACGGTCTTGATATCATAATGCAACTGATTCAATTATTGCACAGCTGTCAAATGTTCTCATTCCTGATTTTCAAAATGAATATGCATTTCCCTTTCATTCTTCTAAAAGTACATAAATGTATGTTTTATAATTTTTCATAGTAACAAGAGGCCCAGAGGGCCTGTATCGCTCATCTGGATAATAAAGCAACCATGGGAAAATATTCTTATTACATAAAATACCTCCAATGGTTCATCAGAAGAAGAATTTTAAGGATTCAAACCTCAAATTCCCCTATTGGGCCCTACAACTCTGCACTCAGAGGGGCCACACCCTCCGTTTATACAAAATCTAGTCCCCTTTGCACAAGGATACTCCGGGCCAAAGTTGGATAGAAATCCCTTAAATGGTACAGAAGAAGGATTTTGAAGACTTTAACCTCAAATTCCCCTTTTGAGCCCCGCCCCTCTGCACCCAAAGGGGCCATACCCAGCGTTTATACAAAATTGAGTCATCTTCGCCCAAGGCTGCTCATGATCAAGACAAAATTAGGATAAAATCCCTATCCCTATGTCAAAGGTTTTACCTCTATTTCCCCTATTGGACCCCACTTCTCTGCCCCCCAGGAGGGCCACAGCCACTGTTTATACAAAAGTGAATGCCCTTGGCCGTTCAGGACTAGTCGTGTTTTAAAGGAAAAGTTGACGGACGTACGACAGACACAGCACCATGTCATAAGCTCATGGTGATCACTGGTCCTTCGGACCAGGTGAGATAAAAATTAAACCGGACTTTACTAACACCTGACTTACAGTACATCTGTTTATATCTGATATGATCATGCTGCCTTCATTATTTTTCACTTTATTATAAAAAAACACTCTCTCATCTCATAGTCATCTAGCTACATTTGCAGTACAAAATTTGACAGTATGTTTACACTCTAAAACATTGCTTGTAGCAACAGACTAGGTTGTAAGAGTGGAGGAAACTACCAAACAATAACACTGTTTACCCATCCTCTCTTCCTTTACCCGAAACAAAGATTTGATTAGTTAGACATCAGTAGGCTTCTTTAGGCCTGAACTGTAGTCGTCAGATGTACCTACCACTTTGCCAGGTCTTGCCCATGTATTCACCACTCCTTCTTGGCACGCTGTCACAATACAATCGTCCCTAAACTCCAGTGCAGTTAAACGTTCTGACGCCACCTTTTTACACACTAGTGGCTCTAGTATAGGCACTTCCTCCAGCCTTGGGCATGAGCATGTGCCTAAAAGTTTCATTACATCATCAACAGGCCGAATGTGATTGGATTTAGGTGCACTAGATTTATCACTTCGACTAGCTAGACTGAAGTTTCGTTTGTGTTCCTTTTTGTCCTGGGATTCCTTCCGGCTCTCAGTGACGGATAATGTTGCAAACTTTGTTGTGGCATTCACTGTTGAGTTTGCAAAATGATGTGCGTGGCCATCCGCGGCAACATCATTACTTCCTACCGAATTCATTTTTTGAGAATGTTGCAAGCTGTTGCACCTGGGTAATGTGTTGATCGACAAAGACGTAGAGTTGCCAGTTATTAATACACTTGTCCGTGACCTACCAATTGGTTGTTTCACAATGTCTTCTGTTAGATCCCACAGACACAGCATAGTGTCTTGCCCTATAGAACCAAACCTGTACGTTGTTATACAGGACGATGACCCTGGACTATTAGGCAGTGATGGAGTCCTACTAGAGTCTAAAGAGTTTCTATTTGACCCTTGTGTCCCCCCATTAGCCACTCCGTCGTGCAAGTCCCACCTTGGTTTGTGGCTTGCTACATTGTGAATATCCTCGTCTGTTGATGTGAACTCACTGCCCTCCACACCACAGACTATTGAGGTGTGCGGATCAAAGGCCACAACACTTACCCATGACCTATGACCTTGACCTCTGCATATGACCCTTTTCTCCTGAAATGACCACACTGTCACTAAGTCATCCTCTCCACCAATCACAATGAACTTGCTGTCCGGAGACCAGCACACACACAGAAGCCCCCCAAAGTAACTCTTCATGGAGCCAAGTAATTCCATGGAATCATAATTAAACACTCGAAGGTAGCCATCTTGACTCACCACAGCCAGATACTTACAACACGGCGAGAAGGCGAATTCGTTGATTGCCCCTTGCCCTACCACCCATCTATACAGTGGGTTGCGTGTGCTCTTCGTTTTACATGTATACACAGCAAAACCATCCCCCTGTTTGAAGAGTTGATAGTGGGGTGGCGTAGGGCCACACGGTAATTCCTCGTTATATACATACATCTGACCACTAGAGTGCGACACTAAAAACTGATTTGGCGACCCAGGTATCCATCGAATAGATGTCACTTTTGTTTTGTCAATCAGCCGCTGAAAATAGACAAAATAAGCTATGAACAAATGTTATGTACATATTGAAATACATTGAAACAAGTCTTAAAAAGACTTCACTGAACAGTATGTTCAGTCCAAATACCCTAGGTTTGTACCACATACATATATCTTAGGTTTAATTTAGCTTGGAGTTCATGCAGTGTGTTCAGTTTGGAACCGATTCCTCTGGGTACCCTACACCATACTTTAGTTTGGTATGAGTACATTGGAACAAACATTGAATATACAGGTTTATGCAGTAATCTGTATTATAACGAATTCACCACTATGTAATATAAGTGATATATAGTAATATAAGACTGGGGAGTTTTGGGAAGCTAGAAACAACAGACTATTAGATCTGTATAAGGAAGTTTTAAGGTAAGCTCATAGTATTAGATCTGTATAAGGAAGTTTTAAGGTAAGCTCAGACTATTAGATCTGTATAAGGAAGTTTTAAGGTAAGCTCAGACTATTAGATCTGTATAAGGAAGTTTTAAGGTAAGCTCAGACTATTAGATCTGTATAAGGAAGTTTTAAGGTAAGCTCAGAGTATTAGATCTGTATAAGGAAGTTTTAAGGTAAGCTCAGACTATTAGATCTGTATAAGGAAGTTTTAAGGTAAGCTCAGACTATTAGATCTGTATAAGGAAGTTTTAAGGTAAGCTCAGAGTATTAGATCTGTATAAGGAAGTTTTAAGGTAAGCTCAGACTATTAGATCTGTATAAGGAAGTTTTAAGGTAAGCTCAGACTATTAGATCTGTATAAGGATGTTTTAAGGTAAGCTCAGACTATTAGATCTGTATAAGGATGTTTTAAGGTAAGCTCAGACTATTAGATCTATATAAAGAAGTTTTAAGGTAAGCTCAGACTATTAGATCTGTATAAGGAAGTTTTAAGGTAAGCTCAGAGTATTAGATCTGTATAAGGAAGTTTTAAGGTAAGCACAAACTATCAGATCTGTATAAGGATGTTTTAAGGTAAGCACAAACTATCAGATCTGTATAAGGAAGTTTTAAGTAAGCTCAGTGTATTAGATCTGTATAAGGATGTTTTAAGGTAAGCTAAGACTATTAGATCAGGGCCCATTTGTATAAAACATCTCAAAGTTAAGGAAAATATCAAGCAATGTATTGTCTATGGGAAATCTTAGACTTGAGGAATTCTCAAGAGTTGAGCTGTTTTATACAAGTGGGCCCTGTATAAGGAAGTTTTAAGGTAAGCACTATAGACACTTAGAGGTGGTTAATATCAGATATGTTTCAGGTACCTTTCCAATTAGAATTTTGAAAATGCTTTTAGTACAAAAACTTTAAAAAAAAATCTGAATGAAAAATGTGTGCCTTTGGAAAATAGGCAGTGATTTTAGGAAGAATATAGCTTAAAATGCACTAATAAAATATTATTTTCATAAAAATCTGTTACACACAAAACATAATTTGTATCATCTTAAGTGGGAAAATAAAACAAATGATAGTTTTCACATTAATAATATAAATGATTCAATTCTAAATTATAAAACTGAAACATCAGTTCTTTTGTGATGCAATCAGGACAAACTTCAGATTGGGGTAAAAAAAGAAAAACTCCTCCACCTCTGGACAAAATTTGGTATAAAAAAATATACAAAGGGCCATAACTCAGTATATAATGCGGCAAGAGATCCAATTTCAGTATGGGACACTTACCATCCCCAGAAGAACTTTAACACAAATTTTGACAATCGTAGATGAAAAAGTATGTAAGATATATATGCCCCCAAACAGTGACACACAGGAAAAAACCCAGAACTTTGCAAATCTTGGGGCACCAGACCCATTCTCTGATCAAGGCGCTCTGCCATTCAAACAGGCGCTAACATATCAAATTTGGCAATTATAGGTGAGTGAAAAAGTTTTTATTATGAACCTGACAAATGCGACGTAGTGGGGAACTGACTGACTGACAGACAGTATATAGTCCCCTAGAGCTGTATCAGTTGGGGGCGTAAATCAATATTCTTATTATTTCTTTATTGTTTTTTATTTAGCGAAAAAACATGCCATGATTAAACAAAGTGTTCAGATCAGAAAGGAGATCATTTATATCTTTTTTCTACTTCCTAATAACTTTTATTGTTTCATGCATTTTTCTTTTTTTGTGTGTGGGGGAGCTCGAGGGAGGGGGGTTAGTGGTGTTTTTTGGCAGTAATTTATGGAAAATAAAGCTTAATACCAGGAGGAAAAACACCATTATTCAGGGGTAAATGTGATCCAAATAATTCCTTATAACACCTCAACCTTTTAACCCTAACAGCTAAGTACAGCATGACACCTTGACCTTTTACCTTATCTATCTATCCAGGTAATAAAAGTGGATGATTTCAAAAACAGACTTATAGGTTCCTTTACCAAAACAGAAACTCATACCTCAAAATCAGGGGTAGATACCTGGACAAATCAATCATTTTGTCATTTAACTTTCCATCATTTTTTTAAATCTCAATTTAATTTAAGGATACATGCTACAATTCAGTCCTTATATTTATCATTCTACACAGGATGTTATGTTTAACTAATCTCCCTATCACAAGATATTAGCATTAGCATTTATCTAAATTCAGTTTTTTTTTTAAATATCTCTGATAATAGTGCTGCGGTTTCAAAAAGATTTCAAGTGGTGTATATCCAACACAAGTTAGAGAGTTATTTTCTGTTTATTTTATAATTTGCCTCATTACTATTCTTCTACTTTTCTCATGAAAGTAGATGGTGAATATATATCAAATAGCCAAGGAGGGTATTTTCAGCAGCTACTGTCTATAAATGAAACCCCTGATAGCGTACTTTCCTTCTAAGGTTTTTTGTATATATTTTTTTATATCTATTAACAATTAATTAGGGTATTTTTTCCCAGATCTACAACTTGCTATTACATGAGTGTAGATCTTTTACATGGGAGTTTACACAGAAGCATACCTCTTCATTATATAGCTTGCCTATCTCCTTCTTGATTGGGTCAATAAGCTGGACCTGACCAGCAGTGAATCCCACCAGTAGGCGCACACTGTCCGGCGACACCAGCAGACTGTTGAAGTCGTGACATGTGGGGAATGTTCCCTTGTAGATCCGCTTGTCTATGGGTTTCGTTAAATCAGCAGCCTGAAACACCAAACACACATTTGCCATTGTGGTTAATCAGCAGCCTGAAACCCCAAACACACATTTGTCATTGTGTTTAATCAGCAGCCTGAAACACCAACCACACATTTGTCATTGTGGTAAATAAGCAGCCTTAAACACCAAACACACATTTTTTCCCAGATCTACAACTTGCTATTACATGAGTATTACATCTTTTACATGGGAGTTTACACAGAAGCATACCTCTTCATTATATAGTTTGCCTATCTCCTTCTTGATTGGGTCAATAAGCTGGACCTGACCGGCAGTGAATCCCACCAGTAGGCGCACACTGTCCGGCGACACCGGCAGACTGTTGAAGTCGTGACATGTGGGGAATGTTCCCTTGTAGATCCGCTTGTCTATGGGTTTCGTTAAATCAGCAGCCTGAAACACCAAACGCACATTTGTCATTGTGGTTAATCTGCAGCCTGAAACACAAAACACACATTTGTCATTGTGATAAATTAGCAGCCTGAAACACGAAACACACATTTATCATTGTGGTAAATTAGCAGCCCGAAACACCAAACACACATTTGCCATTGTGGTTAATCAGCAGCCTGAAACACCAACCACACATTTGTCATTGTGGTAAACCACTAGCCTGAAACTCCAAACACACATTTGTCACTGTGGTAAATCAGCAGCCTGAAATACCAAACACACATTTGTCATTGCGGTAAATCAGCAGCCTGAAACCCCAAACACACATTTGTCATTGGGGTAAATCAGCAGCCTGAAACACCAAACATACATTTGTCATTGTGGTAAATCATTAGCCTGAAACACCAAACACAAATGTGTCATTGTGGTAAATTAGTAGCCTGTAACACCAAACACACATTTGTCCTTGTGGTAAATCAGCAGCCTGAAATACCAAACACACATTTGTCATTGGGGTAAATCAGCAGCCTGAAACCCCAAACACACATTTGTCATTGTGATAAATTAGCAGCCTGAAACACCAAACACGCATTTGTCATTGTGGTTAATCTGCAGCCTGAAACACAAAACACACATTTGTCATTGTGATAAATAAGCAGCCTGAAACACCAAACATACATTTGTCATTGTGGTAAATTAGTAGCCTGAAACACCAAAAACACATGTGTCATTGTGGTAAATCAGCAGCCTGAAACCCCAAACACACATTTGTCATTGGGGTAAATCAGCAGCCTGAAACCCCAAACACACATTTGTCATTGCGGTAAATCAGCAGCCTGAAACCCCAAACACACATTTGTCATTGCGGTAAATCAGCAGCCTGAAACCCCAAACACACATTTGTCATTGCGGTAAATCAGCAGCCTGAAACACGAAACACACATTTATCATTGTGATAAATCAGTAGCCTGAAACACCAAAAACACATGTGTCATTGTGGTAAATCAGCAGACTGAAACACCAAACACACATTTGGCATTGTGGTAAATCAGTAGCCTGCAACACCAAACACACATTTGTCCTTGTGGTTAATCAGCAGCCTGAAACCCCAAACACACATTTGTCATTGTGATAAATTAGCAGCCTGAAACACGAAACACACATTTATCATTGTGGTAAATTAGCAGCCTGAAAGACCAAACACACATTTGTCATTGGGGTAAATCAGCAGCCTGAAACACGAAACACACATTTATCATTGTGATAAATCAGTAGCCTGAAACACCAAACAGACATTTGTCATTGGGGTAAATCAGCAGCCTGAAACACGAAACACACATTTATCATTGTGATAAATCAGTAGCCTGAAACACCAAAAACACATGTGTCATTGTGGTAAATCAGTAGACTGAAACACCAAACACACATTTTTCATTGTGGTAAATCAGCAGCCCGAAACACCAAACACACATTTGCCATTGTGGTTAATCAGCAGCCTGAAACACCAACCACACATTTGTCATTGTGGTAAATAAGCAGCCTTAAACACCAAACACACATTTTTCATTGTGGTAAATCAGCAGCCTGAAACACGAAACACACATTTGTCATTGTGTTTAATCAGCAGCCTGAAACACCAAACTCACATTTGTCATTGTAGTAAATAAGCAGCCTGAAACACCAAACATACATTTGTCATTGTGGTAAATCACAGCAGCCTGAAACGCCGAACACACATGTGTCATTGTGGTAAATTAGTAGCCTGAAACACCAAACACAAATGTGTCATTGTGGTAAATTAGTAGCCTGAAACACAAAACACACATTTGTCATTGTGATAAATTAGCAGCCTGAAACACGAAACACACATTTGTCATTGTGCATACTGTAGAATCTTTATTTTCGTGAGGTTAAAATTTTGTGGTTTTCATATACTAGCCTGCGCTGTTTCATGGACATTATATTTCGCTAATTTCTGATTTTCCCCTATCTATATAATACCAAATTTATGTTCCTGTTGGCACAGCAGCCTGAAACACCAAACCCACATTTGTAATTGTGGTAAATCACAGCAGCGTGAAACACCAAACACACATTTTTCATTGTGGTAAATCAGCAGCCTGAAACACCAAACACACATTTGTCATTGTGCATACTGTAGAAACTTTATTTTCGTGGGGTTAAAATTTCGTGGTTTTCATATACTAGCCAGCGCTGTTTCACGGACATTATAATTCGCTAATTTCTGATTTTCCCCTATCTATATAATACCAAATTTATGTTTCCGTTGGGATTTAGTTTCGCGGATTTTTGTTATCCTCGAAATAAACGAAATTTAATGTCCCAAGAAAATTTATGATTTTACAGTTTATATCTGAGAGTAAACACTGTTTGTCCTATACCCATTGTGTATATGTAACAAAAGTATGCTTTCTGTTGTCCTGCCATTATAAAGTGTAGTGGCAAAAACTAATTTACGGTGAAGTGCAACTTAGCGGTATACGTAGTTTACTTACCCTCATACTGGCATCACAATGAAAACATAATTTGTATTTGTTCCTCATATTTGAATATTTAGGTTGATATTTCTGTCTAGAAACAATACCACTCACTTATAATGTAAGAAATCACTTCTTAGATAATTAGCATACGGTAACATATATGTATATATATATAATTCACAAAATTAAATATTATTAACATCAATTTGATATGACACCCACTGAGCCGTCGACATTGTGCAACACACATTTTTACTGTAATACAAATAGGTATCTAAAGAATGTTGGTGTGACCTTGACCCCTTGACATTGGGGCACCAGGATTGGACCTGTGGCTGGCTAGAGTATTAACAACTTGACCAGATCTGCCGATGAAAAATATTGGAGTATTCCATGCTCCATAATCAAACTGATAACTGCCAATGAACTACCATATAATTCCCCTGCTCTTTCCTGACCAGCGGTGTTGTTAGCCCCACAAACTGTAAAGCAGTTAACGTGCACAATATGCTCAGATTTTGTCATTTGCTTGTAATTTCCTAAGAGAACTGTATTTGTTTCTGCCTAATCAGGGCAAAAATGCTGGTAGTTCTATCTATTACAAGTACAGTATATTAGCTCATTCCCTAAACGTCCCTGACAATCCCATTTTACGGTATTGTATTCTCCATTACATACATTAATTATAAATGTCGCTCTTCCTGCATTGCTCCTGTTTAACTATTGTGCAGGTTCATACAGTTTCAATAGTCAATACTAAACCAACAGAAAAATTTGTATCTTTCATATATATACATTGTAGTATATTATAACACCTACATGTGCAGCACTCTCCCCAGGATTTCAGGATAGCTAGCTAGATCAGTGGTCAGAATAACCGGGAACATCACTTTTATTCACAAAGGTTATTGTATCTATTAAGAATAGTGATAAAACAAAATTCACCAAAAATAAAACTTTAATAAGCAGAAAATATTTTTTCCTCCTAATTACTTCTAATTATCTATTAATCTACGTATACCCTCTTCCAAAAGAAATATTTGTCTAACTGTTTTCAGGGTTGACAGATTTCACTGAATCACATAATTCCATACACTGAGACTTTTGTTCCAAGATTGCGAATTGAGTTTCCTTTGATACATTACATAGCATGATCACATGCTTGGGAAAAATTATTCATAAGCATGAAAGAGGTGAGGTGTCCATTTATAGCAATTCTATACATCCTATTATTAGCATTGATTGGTAAGATTGCCAATGGTGTGTGCCTTCAGCCATTGCCTACCCACCATCGATTGCTGTTTTTGGACTAATTGTTAACATGGAACAATGAGGAAGTGGTGCATGTATTGAATATTTAATTTACCCGATCACATATTAATCTTTTCTAACTTACCGTGCACTTTACCAGCCAGCTATGTACATGCTTTTAACAGTATATCCTGAACCCCTCTCCCACTGATAAGCCCTGCCAATGCCAATAAGGCCGGCCATCATTCCCCCCTGAACCCTCATTCCAGCCATCCCCCCAACCCCAAGGCTTTAACTCTTTACAATGTCTATACCTATATGTATAGCTATCTACATGTTGGATCATCATTTGAAGCCCCTTCAACCTATCACCATTCATTTTTTTTCTGATTCAAATACAATGCACATGTTGTACATGTGCACGCTCAGCAGGAAAACTGATTTGAATGTTTTGAAAAGTTAGGGAATTGTAATAAGACTTGACTCTTTATTTATACTGATGTATCAAGAAACCTCTACCATTATCACCATCAAGAAATGACACGCTTGGTCCTTAAACAATATCAGAGATCCAGTTAGGTATGGTTTGGCCTGCTAATTGGCTGGAATAGGCGAAGCTTTCATCAGAGCTAATATTGAATAATTGATTGTGAAAAATCATTGCACAAGTTTATAACCTGGTATCCATATCTCAATCATGTAAAAGTTCTAACACTACTGTCTGCAGCTGCAGATCAACTGATCATGAAGAGGCACATGAACTCAGGCAATGAAAATGCAATATTTCCACAAACCAGTTCTGATTTTCAAAAACACTGACAATTTGTTATACAGTATTCAGATTTAAGTTTTCAATATACCTGGTATACATTTGTTGCTTTCAAATTCAATTCATTATTTTTTGGATAGCCTTCATTTGGAATTTGTATTCCTATCATGTTTAAGAAACAAAATTTCAATTCTGAACCAAATTAAAAATGAGAAAAAACACTTTTGAAATTTTATCACAAATATGACAAAATATTATCCTAAGTTAACACCAGATTCCATCACATTTATATATAATTATCAACAGCTCTTTCTAGAAAGCTAAATTGAGATAGTGAACTTCCACAGTTGCCATCATTGAACATTAGCCTGTGTCGGGGACACCTGGCTTTTATTTACTTAAGCTAGGTCGTAGATCCCAGGGTATAATGTTGACCTACATAGCCTCAACATGGAAACCATTTTAGGACGAAATCCAAACAAGAAAGTGTCCAAGTTACTGAACATCCTGCTCTTTGCTTAATTCCACCATAACACAAAACAGACTAAACTGTCTTGTAGGGCATTTTATAGCACACTTTTATAAAATAGGAGATTACATTAAACACTTTGAAGACATTTTTAGGTTTAGCCATGCGATGTCTCTCCTAGTCCTATGAACAATTTGAAAGATTAGCAAATGTATATATCTGTCATGCAGTAGATCTCTCCTATGAGTCCTGAACAGTGTACATCTGTCAGTAATTCTAGGACTGAGGATAATGCTATAATCTACAGACCGATGTACAATAACAAAGCTTTGTCAAGATAATTTAGGTTTTTCACCTTTTTTCATCCTAATCGCTTCACACTTTTTTGGCCAAATGATACCAAGGACAGATTAATTACACACAAGTGTCGTAATAATCAGGAGAAGTGAAATTGAACTTTCACAACAAGAGCATAAGCACTTGCTTTGGGTTGATGCCGTTAAAACTAATAGAATTGATGTTTTCACCATTACCTTGATGCCCGTTAAAAGAATTGATGTTTTCACCGTTACCTTGATGCCCGTTAAAATAATTCATGTTTTCACCATTACCTTGATGCCCGTTAAAAGAATTCATGTTTTCACCGTTACCCAAGTCACCACAAAATTTTAGCCAACAATATTTTAACCTTCAATCTGATTAGGCAAAAGTTAGTGGGTTTTGATCAATAACTTCTTAAATTTTATGAAATAGGCATCATTAACATCATTTTAAAAGGTAAACAAACCAAGGAAAAACTTCACTTAGTCACTCCCATGCCATAGTCGACAAGACACCTACTTCACCTACACAGCATACCTGTGATGATCATGAGATCATACTTACGGGGCCTACTAAATGGGGGGTATCCTCATCGGGAGCACTGGAATTTTTTATCTGTGAAATTAATCTATTTAACAAGGAGGTGGGCTTATTACTGAGCATGGGCTTATAACAAGTGCGTAGGATATCAATTTATGTATATAGTTGGTGGTCAACCTAAATCTATCCCAGAGTCTATTACCGCCCCTAAACGTAGGAGTAGAGCCTGATAAATTAAGAATTAATTATCATTTTCTCTTGAGACAGGAAGCCATGCGGAAAACCTTCTTCATATATATATATGGAACAAATCAGCAAGATTTGGGCTTGCTAGACATATATCAGTTGACAATTTGCAAACAAAGAAATAATAGGGAAACCAATATCTGGGTTTTTTTATTTTCAATTATCTTCTTACCTACATGTACCAATAATCTCTCTGCCATTGCAGGCGACACACGGGAGTGTTTGTACTGATAGGATCCAGGGTTTAAACACACGGGAGTGATTGTACTGATAGGATCCAGGGTTTAAACACACGGGAGTGATTGTACTGATAGGATCCAGGGTTTAAACACACGGGGGTGATTGTACTATGATAGGATCCAGGGTTTAAACACGGGAGTGATTGTACTATGATAGGATCCAGGGTTTAAACACTTGGGGAGTGATTGTACTATGATAGGATCCAGGGTTTAAACACTTGGGAGTGATTGTACTATGATAGGATCCAGGGTTTAAACACTTGTCCTGCCACATACAGCATTTAACTCTTATTATTAATTAGAACATTAGAACTCCCCATAATTATTTTTTTATCAAAATTTTGTAAGATGTGGATGTCTTTTCTTTTCAGAACTGTTATTTCAATTGTCATACAGGTAAATGTTTCCACTTCATAGTTACACTGGTATGGGTATCCTTAAGTGTAAATATGGTACTAACTAAAACTGATGTGAAGCTAGCGTAAAGACACTAGCTAGCTGTACATTTATACATGGGACGGCAGATACGGGGTTACCTGCAATTATTGGTAAATATATATATATAGAATGACACTAACCAGATGTATTTTGCATACACAGTATAATACAGTGTACATGGTAGTGTGGCCGATTACTTAGTAACATTCAATAATGAAACCAAAAATCCTATTTCAACTTGAGAAAAGGTTAAGATATTAACAACTTTTCCTTGTAAAGAAATTGAAGGGGCATTTCTGTGATATCTTACAGTGCTGACAAAATAATTTGTAATACTTCCACAGCGTCATGAGCAGTACATACACTAAGTAAGGCTGAATGGAGACGTGATTTACAAGATTTCAAAATTGATCACAGGACCCAGACCGTTAATTATAAGTACTAGAGACTAGAGACCTCTCTTGAATTATTGCTGAAAACATTAAAGAACCTGTAAAATTTAACTAAGTACGGGAAAATGGTCCACACCTGGAGACTTTATCAGAGGTGAAAATCTGGGATCCTGCATTATCTTTTCTTGGAACCGACTGCAAAACATTTTTATAAGCTAATTTATAACTAAACCAAAGCTATCAAATACTTTTATTAGAAAAAAATGAAAGAAAAAATGACATTATGTATAGGAATAAGCCCTATATTTTACAGATTTATCAACACTTGCTAATAAAGGAGCATAACTCTTCATAACTGCTCAAATTTCTTAGTGCCAGACTCAGCACTTGCATTGGAAAAGACGGAACTAATCGTCTTTTCCCTAAAGTGTCAGCAAACAATGGCTCTCCAGCTCAAGCTTGGTTCCAGAACTATTGAGACTGTTCCAGCTGTTAAAAACCTAGGGGTATACTTTGACAGTTCTCTGAACATGGAGAAACAAGTGAACGCTATTGCCAAATCCTGTTACTACCAGATCAGGAACATCGGCTGTATTCGGCAGTTTCTAACTGCAGATGCATGCAAGATTTTGGTGCATTCACTTGTTACCTCTCGGTTGGATTATGGTAACGCCCTGCTCTGTGGTATATCTGACAAACTAACTAGTCGTCTGCAGAGGGTTCAGAACACTGCAGCACGGCTAGTTACTCGTACTCGAAAGAGAGAGCACATCACACCTGCGCTTTATTCGTTGCACTGGTTACCTGTACGATACAGGTCGCAGTACAAAATTCTGGTATACACATACAAGGCACTGAATGGAACAGCTCCTCAGTACCTACAGGAACTTGTTACCCTGTATCAGCCGTCAAGATCACTGCGGTCGGAGTCAGAATCTTTGTTGTGTGTCCCAAAATCTCGTACTGTGACCTACGGAAACAGATGCTTTGGGAGGGTTTCGGCTACGTTGTGGAATAGCTTACCATCTGCTATTAGGAAGTCGAATACCCTGGCCAAGTTCAAGAGGGACATAAAAACTCACCTCTTCACGTCTGCATTTTAGAATCTTTGCAAAGACGTCATGTAAATACCACCCTTTTATTTGTTCAATTATGTGCACATTGCTTGTTAAATGTATGAAAGTGATTGCAAGCCTTTGTTGTTTGTTTTCACAATTATAACCATTACTATTATCCATATGTTGTAAAGCGCCTTAGAGTAATTTTACAAATTATATAGGGCGCTATATAAATGCTGTATATTATTATTATTATTATTATTATTGTCCTTCAGAAAATTTGACAAGTTTACACTGAATCAGAGTGAGAAAGGTGTCTCCTGTGTAATTGGAACTGGGTGTTGGATGTGTTTTCTGTCTGAACTAAAACAATGTGAGAGGGGTACTGGTTCTTGTTAATATTTGAACAGTGTGCTCGTTGGGTGTCTCTTTTTTATTATACATTGAATTGTAGGACAGAGTGAGTGTCTGTTTATACAAGAACAAGGGATATGTCTCCTGTTTATTCTGAGACAGTGTAAACTGTGAAGGGTGTGTCAGTGTCAATCTAACCTCTGCCATGGCTGGTCACACACTTTAGATGTTGATAGTTGCATTGGGGGGTGGGGAGGTTCCATCTGCTACACCTTGGATTGAAAGGTTTCAGCAAGGACAATAGAGAATCCCCTAACTTGTTCTTAACACTGACATGGGACCAGTCAATAATCATTTCAACTAGCCCTTACCCTGTGGACTCCCAAGCAAAACTTGTTCAGTGTCTAACCCTGGACCCTATGTTCTGTTGGTCAGAATCAATGATATAAATAAACATCAGTCAGACTCACAAGAGACATATCAGGTGCATAAGACAACAATCGCAAGCGACATGTCTCGAAAGACATCTGTCTCACAAGACATTCGTCAAACAGCAATTCTATACAGTAAGGATATCATGTGATTTGTGTCAACGATGCCGATGGTGTCATGAATTGTGCACAGGTGAGCAATGTTTACATATCGGTGTTAGAAGCTAACAATAACTAAAACTAATTACGCCTGGGTTCCAGCTCAGTGTTCAACACTGGCAATATGACTATACGCAGTAAGTTATGCAGAAAAACTTGAACTGTCATTAATATACTCGATGTAAACCCGGTGACAGGCCAAGACAGTCGACCAATACACGTGTAGACTGCAGGGATACCTAGAATCGTCCTTTTTACACGACGACCTTGGCAGTGCTTTGCACCCCAGGACGCCCGGTGAACATAGTATATGATGAGTACGGGGGGACAGGAGTTGGCTGGGGTATCATACCTTTTTGACATCCTTGTAAACATAAAAATATAACTCCCTGCCAACATTGAAACAAATCCGATCAGGAGATCCACTTCCGTCGTTTACATTAATGAAAGACACTTTGACAGGAGTATTAGCTTGTCCATTGTACGGTACTCTTGTCGGCTTAGAATACTCAGACAGTGGCATTAATTTATAAGTCCCTTCTCGCGTTACGAAGTGCGTTTTTATCTCATCCTTTCCTCCACCCTCGCCCTGAGACGCCATGTTGGTTTTGGAGAGTTGACAGATGCCCGGATAACTTGACCAATGCGCATGCCCACAGATATTTTCCGCTGTAAACCAAAACAAACACACGTGGTTGAAAGCGCTCACGATGACATTGATCACGTTTGTTATCGCTTCATTCATAAATCTGCGATTTTACAGGAGTTGACATTTTTATATTTTATCAATAGGGGTTCAGAGATATATAGAGATACTGTATAGCAGTGTAGGACCTAAAAATCGACTTAAAAATTCGTAATTCATGAGTAAACAAAACCACTGCCAAGATAAGGACATGTACAAGTATGACGTGTATTGATTAACGGCAATTACAGTTTCGGCGATGAGTCAGCAAGTGTTGGATGCCGATGTAATTTAGGGTATGGTCGCTACCATGTCTGAGAATATATATAATAGACTCGTAGAGGGCTAGAAGTTATTCTGAGATCGATGTATTTCAAGAATTTCAATATGCTACCCAATTCGATGCAATGGCGAATTTGCATGTACATACATGTATGAAGGACAAACACGAGATTATGATACATGACATATTATTTCTAATTGTAGCACTACTTGTCATAGCGTTACATTTATCTCCCTTGTCTATATCAAACGGAAATATATACCAAAACAAACAGAAACAAAACCAACCCCAGAGACGACTCTGCGATTCAGTCACAGGCATTTGTTTCTGTCAATGAAAATAGTCACGAGAAAAAAAATTCACACGTCCCTACTAATAAAATATACCATTATATTGGTATATGTTATGAGTAGGGTGGGTGTTTTTTCTCGTGACTATTTTTATCGACAGAAACAAATGCCTGTGGATTCAGTTCAGCAGTGTTTTTTTTAATGGACACTTTAGTTTTAAAAAGACTTATGGAAAGAAAAAACAATCGTTTGAATAAAATCTTAATCGAAAAGCATACCAACATATACATGTATATATATATAGGACCCGATAAGTATCGTATTATGAGGGTATTTTTTTTATTAGTTTAGCACAGTAATTCTCCACGCTCGTCTTCCTATGAAATTTAAAATGATATTCACAAAAAGTATATTATTATTATGAAAAAAAAACAAGAAAATAATTACGCCTTGACTGATATCATTTTTACTCTCTATGTATATATCTCGGACGAGATTACTTTTTTTATGAAATTTTAGACCTGATAAGGGGAAATTTTACAATTGAATGTGATGACTAACATATATATACTGTGATTTAAATTGATGGTCAAATTTTGTAGAACCTACAGACACACGTTGTCTATTCTATCGCCAAAAACGACACTTGCTTAATTGTTATTACACGCGTTTTAAAGGACTTTGGGTTAAATTTACACTGTGGGAGGCTATATAGAGCCGTCAAATCTGTGATCATCATTTGATTACCGAATAGGAGCATGTAATGGCAGGCAGATATGATACTCTTTAATTCGTGCACAAGAACCATGCTTGTTATAATACTTTTAAGATACAATAATTTTTAATAGACTGAAGGATGGTATTTTAACAGCACGACTCACCTTTTCTACCACATAAATGACAATCGTTAATTGCTATCACAGGGACATGATAATTTGTTACAGATTAGCTGTGTTTGGACCTAAAATGATGAGTTCAGGGTAATATTAGCCGTTTTAGTGGTTCAGGTCAACTTTCGGTAAAAATACCAACCTGAAAGATTATCTAAACCACTAAAACGCCTGCTATTACCCTGAACACACCAAATTAGGTACAAACATAACTAAATTGTAACAAATTAGCAGGTCCCTGTGATTGCTACGTCTGTTGTTCTATATAAAGGTGTCACATCTGTCCACCTATTGTTTACCTACTGCAGGGAACATAATCGATCGGAAGGTCGTGCCTATCGATTATAGAGAGGATATATGGGATGTATGACCACGGAATTAGTCCGTGGTATGACTGTACGGTAACACTCGTGTTACTGGTCTAACATCAGATCACAATGAATGTTTGAAAATGGAAGCCAACATCAGCAAGTGTCCGCGCGCATGTAGCAATAAAGATTACTAACGAATTAAGCTTTGCTTTATTTTAAATTGTCGCTGTATGAAAAAAGTTTTGCCAACGTCGCTTCAACGTTTGCGTTTTAAACGCCTTTACGTGTTCGCGATGCTGCATAAACGACATTTCATTAATGAGGATTCAATTCCTCAAGAACAACATTTTACTCCAAGCCCAAAGAGTCTATCATAAGAGGACTTGCTTCATAAGCCCGTATTCATACTTTCGAACGCTTCCCAAACAAAGATAGACATTAATTGCCGATTGTACTTATTTAAACCATATTTTGCTGCCTTTTACTGGAGAAAATAAACGCATTACGTAACAGTATAATTAACTATAGGATTCCTCCGTTAAGGAATGTTTTTAGTATTGACAATGTATTGCACATGGGATAGTTCATCGGGAAAGAAAACAGAAAGTTCGAACAAATCATTGGGATAGAGAAACTGGTAACTGTTCATCCCCGACGGGAAATAGAACCAAAGAGAAAAGTAACAATCATTGTTATTAAAAAGCACACTACAGAGACATGCCAGGGATTTACATGTGTTTTACACCTTGTACCGTGTTTTAAAGTAGGCAGGATATGACCAAAAAGGTTGAAGTATTTTATTATTGAACCATTATACCTTGGTCTCAGCTTCCGTTCGAATTAGAATTTTATTTGTGTCAGTATGTGTTATGGGACATTCAAATCAACACCCCAACAAACAGAAGACTCAAGAAATGAAAACCTATTTCCGCAAAACTGTTTCAATAAAAGGGGACCGATCAAGTAATCTATAATGACGTCAGAATACGCTTACCCTTCCGATACACCTGGTTCTATTCCCTTGTACTTCTTCAATGATCCCCATGTTAATCTTTCCTTTGGTCACATTTTGCCATTGTTTTATCGATTTTCAGTTCGAATTATAGTTTCGTGGATGCTTCGCTATTCTCCTGTTTTTGCCGGTCCAATATCAAGGTAGGCTTATCGCCTAATCTCTGATGTTGCACGCCGTATTCAGTAAATTCAACGCTCGAAGACATACTGACATACAAATAGTAACGACAACTTAACTGTAGTCATACATATTAACCGGTTCAATCTAATGTATACGGCCGGTTTTGAAAGTCATTATTATTGAAGGCCGGAGAATTTCCGATTTTTATATTATAAATAGTAAAGGGTAGTGTGGACAATCCGAAGGTATCTCTCCGACTGTTCCTCATATATTCTTTTTCATGTAAAAACATGTAATACTAAATCTAATGGGGACTTCCGCCCGCGGGAAGTCAAATTATGTAACGCAACCGTTTCTCACCCCTACTACAATTGCTCACTTATTGTACCTGGTAGGGAATATAAATATAATCCACAATAACGATCTCCTTTGATTTTTTTCATGAGCGGAGATATCACCAGAAAGTATCACTAAAACCCGTTTGGTTGGAAATTTGTGTTAAGAAAACAAGCATGAATTCGTGCAGGTCTATCAAATTGTTCTCAAAAGCGAGATCTAACGGCTGCGAGTTGCAAGAAACAAGAGGCTTAACAGGCCTGTATGATTATCTGTTACTGAATGGTGTCAACAGACACACTTGACCTCTGATTGTGGTCCAAGGCCATTCATTTAAGCACATTTGGTAGCCCTCTTCCCAATCAAGCTACAGGCTAAGTATTATGATATTCCATGGCTACTGTGTGTCATGACCTCTTACCGAATCCCGTGACCTTCCTCGGGAAGCAAGTGATGAGGACGGGGCCTACAGCTAGAGTGAAGTCGTTTGAACGGACGCTTTCCGGCCATGGCCGTACACAGTTCTTGTTATCAGTATTTTGCATGCTTTGGCCTACAATTCGGCACTGCTGTACATGTATTTGTGGATAGGAATAACAATATGACCGCCAAGAAGCCATCTTGGTGTTTTTGTTATCAAACTGAAACGTTTTTCAAATTTTGTACACATATTCCCAATGGTGGTAATGGTGCAATGCTACTTTTGTTTGTGAGCGGAATTATTATACGACTGCCACCACACAGCCATGTGTGTGAGAGGAACTATTACACGGCTGCCTCCACACAGCCATGTTTGGGAGCAGAACTATTATACTGCTGCCCCCACACAGCCATGTTTGCGAGCGGAACTATTATACAGCTGCCACCACACAGCCACGTTTGTGAGCGGAACTATGATACGGCTGCCACCACACAGCCACGTTTGTGAGCGGAACTATGATACGGCTGCCACCACACAGCCCTGTTTGTGAGCGGAACTATGATACGGCTGCCACCACAGAGCCATGTTTGTGAGCGGAACTTTTATACTGCTGCCACCACACAGACATGTTTGTGAGCGGAATTATTATACGACGGCCACCACACAGCCATGGTTTTGACCGGAACTCTTATACTGCTGCCACCACACAGTCATGTTTGTGAGCGGAATTATTATTCGACTGCCACCACACAGACATGTTTGTGAGCGGAACTTTTATACTGCTGCCACCACCCAGCCATGTTTGTGAGAGCAACTATAATACGGCTGCCACCACAGAGCCATGTTTGTGAGCGGACCTATTATACGGCTGCCATCACACAGCCATGTTTTTGAGCCGAACTATTATACTGCTGCAACCACACAACCATGTGTGTGAGCGGAACTATTACTCAGCTGCCACCACACAGCCCTGTTTGTGAGCGGAACTATACACAGCCATGTGTGTGAGCGGAACTATAACACTGCTGCCCCCACACAGCCATGTTTGTGAGCGGAACTATTATACGGCTGCCACCACACAGCCATGTTTTTGAGCCGAACTATTATACTGCTGCCACCACACAGCCATGTTTGTGAGCGGAATTATTATACTGCTGCCACCACACAGCCATGTTTGTGAGCGGAACTATTATAAGGCTGCCACCACACAGCCATGTTTGTGAGAGGAACTATTACACGGCTGCCACCACACAGCCATG